ATCTCCTCCTGTATCAGTCAGATCTGATTTGATGGTACACACATTAAAAAATAAATAAATAAAAAGTAATAAAAAATAATTTAGGAAAGGTATATAGCTACACATAAATCTTGCTAATACTAATACTAATACTTAATGCTAATCAGATGAATTAAATACTCATCAGAAGAATCATCTTTATTCTAACAGGTAAATAACAAAGTCACATATGGTGTCTGGGAAACCTACTAATTGTAAGTCAATAAAAGCAAGGCAACTATCAAAAAATGAGTGAAGCAATAAATGTTAGCAAAATTAAAGTTCCTCTATAGATGCAGATGTCAATATATCTTTGATATATTAACACATCCAAGACTGAATGCTGCCAATATGAACTGCATTCAAGTATATTTAATCCACATAAATCCTAGGGGGGAAAAGCAGACAGACATACAAGGAGTTCTCAATTTTAGTGGCTCTGCAGCCTCTATCAATATAGAGGAAATGCTGTGGATCAAAGGAAAAATGATGTCTCTTACCTTGGCTTTTAGCCACTTTACGTTGGCAAAAAAAAGGGGGGGAAAGTAGAAATTAATTCTAGTTACATTTATAGTTATTCATTAGTAAGTTTTTACTCAACCACATTTTTCAAATATTTTATAAAGAAAAATGATATTAATAAGCAATGAAGAAGTGTTCATATATTAATGAAAGGAAACCACCAGTTAATTATGCCATTTTAATGAATACTCAGTAATTTCTTAGGTCAGTATTTTGCCCTAGGAAATTAATTTTAATGGACCATAGGTAATTTTTTTAAAAGCTCTGATGTAAGCAGAAACATCATCAAAACACTGTAGAAGGCTATGTTTAATATATCATCATGTAAGACCTGAGACTTTACTGAATAACAAATGTCTAAGTAAGTTTAACCATTCATCATTTCCTACAACATTAAGAAAAGAACTTTACTTATTTTGCACATTAACAATGGACATCCAGCAGTAACCAATGGTGAGGTGTGTGGCAAGAGCTACACTGGCTGTAACTGGGCTACTCTTCTCACTGATCTGTTAATTACATGGTGATAGTCTTCATTTTCACATAACAATTTCCATTTTCTCCAAAGAAATTGGTCTGGGGGACCTAAGTAGGTTTATAAGTGAGGAATGGGCATACAGAGTTTGTTTTTTTAAAAAAAAAAAATCATAAACATTAAAATTCAAAATCAGAGATTGTTACACATTCACAAAGAGATCTACTACCTTAGTATTTAAAATTAGAATCACTCATGAATGAAACACAATGGATATGAATGACTGTATGAACATAATACACATGAACAAAACACAATGTACATGATTATATGCAACTCAATTAAACAAAAACAGAATCACTATGCACAGTAAATAGTTCAGTCACAATCTATCTAGAGAATAAAAAAGCAAAGTCTAGACTCTCTTTTACTTTATTAACTCCAACTCTGACTCAGTCAACTGGAGATAACGTTATAGGTTCTTTTGTTTTTTAACCCGTGTAGTCAATATACACTGACTTTGACTGGACAGTTTATTTATATGATAAATTACTTTACTATGTACATTGAATGATGCATAAAGTTCTAAAAGCATCACTTAGACTGTCCCACTACTGCCAAGCTGACTGCAATTCATGATGATCCTATGAATGAAGAAGAGAAGTGCAATCCAAACAAAATTTTCGAAAACATGATCTTTGAGAATCACTCCTTTCCTCTGAGTTACCTGAGGGGATTTAAGTGGTCAGTCTTTCATTTGTGAGTCAAAACCTTAAACATTTGTACCACACAGGAACTTGTACTATAC